AGAGACATAGAAAAACCGATTACCTTTTTTCAAAAGCCAATGGAAAGTGTTAAAATTTAACCTATACAAGATTAGTATAGAATAGGACTGTGCAATTTACAACTGAATCATTTCAAGTGACCATTACTACTTGACCCAGTTTAAAACTTTCACACCAAATTAATGCACTCTGTATAGAGAACGTTATTGTTTGTCATCATGGCCCTCTGCTGTAAAATATTTCTTTTGAAATATTACTAACACAAAATGTTCTATTCAGAGAATCATCTTTTTATTGGCAAGATGATCTTGAATTTAAGAAAAGCTGTAGAAAAGTTAGGTACAATCAGTCATATTAACTAACCACTATTCTCCAGCACCAAGAAATTGTGCATAGCATGAAGAACAGCTCAGTAATTCTGAGCTCATAGAAGAGCCTATCTAAATTTAACTGTTGTATCATGTTAATGAGAGATAAAATGCCCTGCATCACCAAACAGATGGTGCTAGCCCACATTAATAAACTCACTGGAGAACTTAATATGCTTAGATTTAGATAGGTTATTCCACTGCATGACATAGTCCATGACACATCCTGAAGCAATGTATCTGTATTTGGCAGTTCTTTATCATATCGCTTGGTTGTCCTGGCCACACTGTCTGCTGTCCCCGTGTCCTGTCCTGCCTCTCAGCTAGCCTGACTTGCAGATATAAAGGTGCAGCCCTTTGTGGTTCTGGTGGAAGCCAAAAACACTCAATGTGGCAGAGACATATTTTGTATTTTCACAGAATCCCTGGATTTTACTGACCCCATGGAAGATCAGTATTTGGAGACCAGTTAGTACATCCCTGCTCTCCCCAGCAACATTAACACACTCCTTTCCCCAGCAGAGTGGGGGGAGTATACAGGTATGAAAGACATGGATGCCTGTTTCTGCCGCATCCTGTTCCATCTGAGGGCTGCAGCTGCCAGGGAGCTGGCAGGGGCAGGGGCATGAGCTGGGCATAAGGCTGCTGGCACCACTGTGACTCCCATATGGGCTTATTTTGGCTTCAGGCTGTGATTTTGCCTCCCTAAAATCCAAGGCAACAGATTGAATCTGGACATTTTTGCCCAGGGATGTTTTGGCAGCTCATCCTATTTGCACTTCCAAAAGCATAAAATGTTTGTATATTACGCTTTGCATATTTAGCCAGTGTTATTAGCTTATAGTAAATAAATATTTAAAACATATTAAGTATCATACTATTTCAGAAAAAATAAATTAAGAATTCATGTGATTGGAAAAGAGTGTTGAATGCAATTGGATAGTGGTATTCATTTCATGAATACTACTTCTGGTGATATCATTTATATGAATTTGATTCATCTTATCAGCAATCTCTATGACTATTTGTTATGTGAATTATGAATAAAGCTTCCTAAAATAAATCTTTGGATACCATTTTCCTCCTCTTCTGAATAACGTTAATGTAGCACTCCTTAAAGATTGCCTAATACAAGAACTCTGTAAATAAGTACAATAACTTAGAAATGAGAAATCATAGGAAGTGGGTGGAAGAGAACAAGAGCAAACTACAGTTGAAATATGTTGGAATTCAAAAGGTATTTTCATAAGATATTGCAATATTTGCACAAAGACACAAGTGGAGTATTCAGAAAGCTTTAGATGTTCTTATCTACTTTATATAATGTGATCTGGAAGACAGGAAGTATTTACTCAGTAACTTGCAGAAATTACCATGACAGTCATGAAGCTTTAGCTGCAATATACCTGGGCATGGGATTTACATGGGGGCAGAGAAATATTCCTTCTTTTGAGCACAAGTACATCTGTAGAATTTGGTGAGCATGTATGCATACCACCTGCAGTATGTACCTGAGAAAGCACAGATAAGAAGTCAAGGATTTCATTCTCTACCTTCCAAGATTATCTTATATCGAGGCACACTGTTTCATTTCCTGACAGAACTAGAAACAAAAAATGTTTTTAGCCAAGACATTCAGAGAGAGAAGAGGGAGAAGGTATATAAACATGAAAAAGAAATGAACACATATACAGAGGGCTACAATCACAGTGAAGCACTGAAAATATTTGCTACTTTATTTTGTACCTAATTCCTTTTATCTGTACTCTGTTTTCAACTTTCACACCTTGTGTGTGTAGCTATGTACAAGGATGTGGTTTTCCAAACAGGAACTGAGAGAAGTTCAGTCTAGATCTAAACCATCCCTAAGAACCAAGTATTTTTAGATGTCTCTGACATATTATCAGAACTAGTATGGACTCCTTTTTCTGTGTTTTAGGTTAACAAAAATAAGAGAGAAATAAAATACATGGGACAGACTGGAATACTATTGATCAATTGATCAAGTATGAGGCAGATCTCAAATTGCACAACAATTTGTTCCACACTCTTAAATCAGCCTTTGAATGAGGTGAGCAAGGCTCATGCTGACCAAAATTTCGTTTCCTCCACGGGGAAAGGATGAAATCAGCACACACTGCACCTTAAATTCACTCACTCTCACAAGGCTGGGTATTTCCAGTAGTGTGCAGGGGCAGGGTTTGTGCACCAAGTGTGGAGAGCTCAGCACCTGGCAGAGTCTGTGACACCTAAAACATCAGCCTGCTCTTGCCCCATTACTGAGAGGCCACAATCGGGGGGAACTAAGGAGGTTCTTTGCAATGCTGAAGCCAAGGCCATGTGTGAACTATAATACTATGAATGGTGAGGTGAAACATAGGTATTAAGAGAACAATTATTTCTTGAAAATTCTGAATTACATTATGCTACGTTTCCTAATAATTTCAGAATGAGGGAGATCTCTTTCTTTTTTTAAACTGCCAAAGCAAGAAACTGCTCTTCTTCCCATAGACCTGCCACTAACTCCAGCTATTCCTTTCCTGATTCAAAAAAGTCAGATTGATTCTGTGTTTCTTCACAAATCAGAAGAAAATTGTTAGTGCATTTTCATTGCAAAAATTTGTACTACTTCTAGTAATTCAACATGAACTTTTATGCCTTTTCCCTTAACAAAATACTATTTTTTTCAAATATTTAAAAAAAACCAACTTTTCTAGTTTAAACACAGAATAGATTTATGATGAAAGCCATAAGGGAAAAAACAAGAAAGAGAAAGAAAACAACCCCTACATAACATGTGAAATCAACTGTAGAAAAATTGTTTTAAGGGTAGAAGGGTACCAGAATCATGCTTGAATAGGTATCAGCTGATTCTACCAAATGGCCATCAAGGTCAAGGACCATCATAAAAATCAAAGCAAGGACTTTTCCTAGATAAGAATTTTTTTTATTATTATTTTGAAATAAAGTTCAGGGCTGCGGTCAATATATTTGCTTTTTATGACCACTTATTTGATTTATTTTTGAGAAAACCACTTCAGTTTACCTGTTAAATACTGAATACTCCTTTTTGTACTTCAAGGCTCGCAGAAGCAGATTTCATAATATTTGTATGCTTTTTATGCATGAGTCCTTTTATTTATACAGCTCCCTATAAATCATATAAATGAATGACAGAAAGGACCAATTAGAGCTTTTTCAGGGTAGAATGGCTCTTAGATGGTTCTGTAGTCTCGTTTTAATGGTTTCAGGTTCCACAGTTTCCCTGAGGAGATCATTTGAGAGCTTACTGCAATTTATTCTCATGATAGTCAGCTTCAACATTTCCTTTTCCAATTGAATCACAATACACTTACATCCAACATAATGTATCACACATTTTCTCCTCTTGTGACACAAGGTAGATTCCATAAATCCTGCAATAAATTCATCACCTCCCCTTATGTCCTTATAAGTCTATATTAGCTGAGTTATGTAGCACAGGCCAGCTTTGGAAGCAACATCAGTTATACTTCTTCAGTGATTTGCACAAAAAAGTAGCAATCAAACCCCAATACTACAGACATACTTTATACAAGCTCCAAATTAATTCACAAAAATAATCCATATTTTTTTTAATAATTCTATGGTTCTGTGTATTATAAGTATAAAATACCGCCCCTTTTTTATGCATGCTTGCAGAGTCTTAACCCCATTCTCCCAGGGTCATATAATACAATTCCAGGAGCCAGTTTTTTATCCTGTGTCTCTGGAAGGATCCAAATAAATTTTCCAGCTCACTACAAAGTAAGCAGTACTGTTGTGTGTAGCTGACTCTGGCCTGCCATGTAGACTGGTCCCTTCACCCTTCTCTTTATCATGTGCCAAACCGGTTTGCTTTCAGATTCCTAGCCTGCCTTTCCCATTCAAGTCCTGCCATGGGATTGCCTGTGTTCCAGGGCTCGTGCTCAGCTCCTTCACTGCACAAATTTCATTACACAAGAAACAGGGCTTACATTCATCTTTTACAATTTCAGATTAAAGGGACTACAGAGATAGGGAAACACATTCCTGCAAGCGTAAGACCACTAGGTTGTACATTTTTTTAATTTATCTGTCTTCAGTTATACTGATCACAGCAGAATTTTGAAAAAAACAAATGAGAACCAGAAACCAAGAAAGCACCCCTTAACATCCTACTAGTTCATGTATGTACATACAGCCTCTAAAACAAGCTAGGAGATGGTTATCAAATTACAATTCATGGAATATTATTCCTCCTGAACAAATGAGTTCTATAAAACTACAAAGTCTCCAGGAAACTCTGTTAGGTGTTAATGTGCTAATTAGAAAAGGATTGACTAAACCCATGAAAGCAGTAATAAAAAGTTAGAATACTGCTCATTCACTCAGTAATACAGAACAAGTGCTCTAATAGCAAAGGTTTAGAAGCCAAAGGACCATGCAGGTGCCTTATACTTCAATGGGTTTTATAGCTGAGGAAGATGCTACAAATACCAAAAGCTCTGTTGCGAATAAAAATAATAAATCATTTTTGGAAGCTGGCTTTAGAAAACAAATAAAACACAACCAGCAGAAATTAAGAAGCCTGATTACATCTCACAGCTAAACCCATTCCAATACCCTCATCGTACCTTGTGTCCTACACCTACCAGGCAGGGAAGGAAGGCATGCACTGGAGTGCTCTGCCAGGCCGTGTGCTGGGTATCCAGTAGCCACCACCTCCTCTTTGCTGACCTGCAGGACAGCTTTTACAGGCTGAAGAGCCTGGAAGATGCCTGAGGGGAGCTGCAGTGAACTCCTCCTTGGCTACGTGGCATGTGGGCCCTGCTAGAGAGAGTCTCTCCTTCATTCTGCAAAAAAATCTGTCATTCATTACTGAAATCAGCCCCGTATGGGTGAACTAGCAACTGGCTTGAAGTCACTGGAGAGCGAAAAAAGGTGAGGGCAGCCAAATTGCTTGGAATGCAGCTAAAATACTTCCAAGAGTTTAAGATTAAAAGGGATCATTGGTCACATACTCTCACCACAGGCCAGTAAGTCTTCCTATGAGTCCCAAACTGAACTAAGGAGCTTGTTTGTGATTAAAACCATTACATTTGCATTACATTCTCTCAGCTCCTGACCACTAAGTCTTCCTTTATATTCTTTTCTTCCATTGTAAAAAGCTTTAGCACAGCAAATCTTGCAGATCTTTTTGACAAATTGATACTGCCTTCAGAACATATCATAGTAAGAGACTTTCTCCATTACTATAATGTTCTGGCAGGTCTTTCCTGCACCACTTGGTCTTTAATGTCAAGAGCCACACACCTTGTTCTACTATCAGTTCCCATGAATGCACACTAATGCTGGTAGTACATCCAACAGTCAGACTGGACACATTGCACCTTACCCATACCAGTTTGCTTGACAAGATTTTTAGACAACTTTTTCTAAGACATAAGCTCTCATTCCAGAGGCATGGCTTGTATTCCTGGAAAATTTGGCAGTAAATTTTGCCAGCACACTTGGTTGTTTGGAAGTGTTAATTTTACTAAGCAGTCCAGATGACGCTGCAGTTGCTGTCACAGTAGTTTACTAAGTTACCGTTTAGCACATCCATAGATTTTATTAACAGTGAGTTTATTTTTGGATCTCCGGTAAAAACCTTGAAAATGTTGAGCCTGCAGAAACTTGCACACCCCCAAACCACGAAGACCAGCCTCTGAAAACTCTTCTGATCTTTCAGAACTATTTCTCTATTTAACACATTGACCGTTCAACAGCATTAGCCATTAGAAGAACATACGGTATTAACCAAAGGACCCAGAGACCATTCTGCAGTTCTAAGCCTGCTAGATTAAAAACAGAAGCCCTGATGTGTCTGCAATTGCTTTTATCAATTTACCTGTGTAACTGAATAAGGCTATGAAAGTCAAGGTGATTGACATTAAGGATATCTTACCCATTTCTTTATCAAACCATTTTTGTATCTTATTCTACTGTTCTTCCTGTGGTTTATGTTAAAACAGTCAAGAGCAGTACCAAGTCATCCAGCGTGGTCTTTTGAAAATGGACAGAACACGAATGTTTTTCTTTACTTCGTAATAAATTACTTTCCATTTAAAGATTTATTAAACCCCAAACTTAGCTATTTTCTCAGCTAACTCTGTCAAGATTCCACGGTGCAAATTAGCCAGACTTCATTAAAAACTGTCTAGGTTTGCTTGGAACAGAGCTTTCCCCGCGGACCTCACCACAATTCCCACCACGTGATGCCAGCACAGCACCTGGCTTCTCCCAGGTACGGCGGCGATGCTCATCCAGCACCACCGACGTGCGCCCCACCGCATCTGCGGCACCTCAGACCCACCCGCAGCCCGGAGCGGCTCCCCTCGCCCCTCTTCCTCTAAATCCCCCTCCGCTGCCGAGCAGCCCAGCGGGATCCCCGCTCGGGGGTTCGAGCGAGGTGCCAGCACCTGCGCGGCGGTGGCGGCACGTCCCTGCGGCCACCCCCACCACATCCCCA